CGAGCGCGCGGGCTGCGTCCCCGGGCCGGACCGCGTGGCGACGGCGGCGCTCCTGGCCGAGGTGCGCGCCGCGGCGCCGGCGCGCGGTCGCGCGCTCGCGGCGGCGCTCGAGGCCGACGGCCCGGGCTACGCGACGCTCCTCGTCGTCGAGGTCTCGCTGTCCGAGCCGCCGCGCGGCGACGCGGCGCGGCTCGCGCGCGCCGTCGCCGCGGCGCTGACGGCGGCGGTCGCCGCGCTCGTGCCGAGCGTCGCCGGCGTCGGCCCGCCGCGCGACGCGGCCGCGGCCGCGGCCGCGACGGCCGCGCTGCCGGTCCTCGCGCGCTGCGCGCGCCACCTGTCGAAGATCCCCGCGGCGCGCCCGATCGTCGCCGGCGCCGCCGCGGCGCTCGTCGGCGTGCCGCCCCTCGGCGACGGCGACGCGGCCGACGCGTGGGGCCGCGGGTTCCCCGCGCGCGACCTCGGGCGGCCCGGCCCGCTGCCCGAGGCCGTCGCGGCCGGCGCGGTCGCCGGGCGCCTCGCCGACGAGTGGACGCGGCTGCGGATGCCCAGAGACCTCGCGGGCTCCGCGCGCCGCGACGCGGACGCCGTCTGGGCGTCGTGCGGCCGCGGCGACGCGCTCGCGGCGCTCGTCGACCTCCGGGCCCGCGTGCACGCCGCCGCGCCCGTCGCCTACGAGGACTCGGGCCTGCGGGACTGGACGGCGCCCGGGGCCCAGGTCCTCGGCGCGGCGCTCGCGGCGTGCGTCGCGCGGCTCTTCCCGCCGCCGCCCGCGCCGCGCGTCGACGGCGCGGACGCCGTGGGCCACGCGGTGCCCTGCTGCCTCGCGCTCATGGACGCCTACGAGGCCCGGGGCCGCCGCGCGGGCCTCGTCGCGCTCCTGCGCGTGCTCCAGCGCGCGTCGAAGGCCCGGCTCGGCGGCGTCGCGGGCCTCGCGCGCGCGCGCCTCGTCGCGCTCCGGGGCCTGTCGACGTCCGACGGCGAGGTCGCCATGGGCCTGCACGCGCGGTGCCTCGTGCGCTGCGTCGCGCTCCTCGACGAGCCCGCGGAGCGCGCGGCGCGCGGCGGCGAGCTCATGGAGCTCTTCGTCGTCGACGCGACGCGGTGCCGCGACGAGCCCGCGCGGACGGAGCTGCTGCGGCGCGGCGTCGCGCCGCTGGTCCGCTTCCTCGGCCACGGCGTCGCGCTCCACCTGCGGACGCTGCTGCCCATGCTCCTCGCGTTCCTCGAGCCGGGCCACGCCGAGCGGCGCCTGCTCGCGCTCCGCGCGGTCCACGCGGTCGCCGCGGCCGCGTGGGCGCGCGTCGGGGCCTACCGCGCGGCGCTCGTCCCCGCGCTCCTCGGCGTCGCGGGCGCCGCGCGGCGCGACCTCGTCGACGCCGCCGTCGCGGACGCGCGCGGCGACTCCGACGACTCCGACGACGGCGCGCGGCCCTTCGCGCCGCCGCGGCCCCGGGGCTTCGCGCCGGACGACGCGCGCGTCGCGCTGAACAACGCCATCCGGGCCCTCGCGTTCCTCCTCGTCCTCGACCCGGACAAGGCGCCGCCCCTCGTCGCGGCGGCGCGCGCCGCGTGCCCGGACCTCCGGGCCGTCGCGGACCTCGCGACGAAGACCGCGGCGGACGCGGCCGCCGCGCCGCCCGGAGCCGCCCGATAGGTCGCCTTAGGACGCGCCGCAGGTCCGCTCGTCGAGCGTCGCGCCGTAGCGGAGGAAGTAGTCCCGGGCCGACTCGAAGCCGGCGACGCGGCGCCGGAGCGCCGCGGCCGTGCCGCCGCGGGGCACGGTGAAGAGCGTGGCGGCGTCGAAGGCGTCGCAGAGCTCGGCGAAGTCGAGGCCGCGGTTCGCGACGAGCCGCGCGCGGAGCGCCGGTTGGCGCGCGACGTAGTCCAGGTTCGTGACCGCGTCGACGGCGACGATCGCCGTCGCGTTGCCCGCGAGCGCGAGCGTCGCCGCGAAGTCGCTCGTCGTCGTCGCGACGGTCGCGGCGCGCAGCAGGAGGCAGACGTCGCGCGCCGCGGACGCGCCGCGCGCGCGCGCCGCGCCGCAGAGGTTCCGGGGCTCCGCGCCGGACCGGACGACGACGACGGAGTCGAAGCGCCGCGCGAGCGCGTCGTAGTAGGCGCAGGGCGGCTGCGCGTAGACGTGGACGAGGTGGTCCCCGCCCTTCCGCGACCCGCGGCCGCCGCGGTCGCCGTCGTTGCGCGCGACGTCGCCGTCCCTCACGTGCGCGACGACCGCGCCGGCGGCCGGCGCGTCGCAGGCGTCCAGCGCCTCGGGCCGCAGGAGCGCGTCCACGGCGCGGCGGAGCGCGACGCGCTTCTCGGCGACGCTGAGGCGGCAGCGGCTCCGGAAGAGCCGCGCGCAGTCGTAGGTCGGCTCGCTCTCGAAGACCTCGCACCGGAACGCGCCGTCGCGGCGCCCGGCGGGGAGCGACGGCGGCGGCGCGCGCCAGACGGCCGGGTCCAGGCCCTTGGGGGGCGCCGCCGGCAGCGACACGTAGGGCCGGCCCGACGCGAGGGCGACGCCGAAGGCGTTGGCCAGCTGGTTCAAATTGTTGCCCGTCCGCCCGTACCACCGGCGCAGGTGGACGGC